TCATTTCCAGCTATTAAATCAACTTCTGTCCTCCTCGAGCGTTTCGCCACCCTTCACCACACAGACTACACAAGGCCCTCCTAGGTAAGTGGTGACCAGGTATACGTAGCATATGCCCAAGCCAACGCAACTTATTCAGTGCCACCTTTTGTTCTAAGGAACTAGCTAGGGTATCATTGCCTAGCACTCGCCTACGCACATTATCGTTGCGGACACGCTGGTGCCATCCGACACTAGCAATGCTTCGCGGACAACGGTGATCAAAGACTTGAAGACATCTCAGACCTTCAGTCCGAAGGGGCTAAGTTGTACTACCATAGAGCAAGACGGTCCTCACTGTGGCCGTGCATACACGGTGTTTCAGACGGAGAGAAACTCCGTTCTGTCTCTAAAGATGCCGTAGGTTCAAGAAGGCAGTTCTGGCTTTTGTGATGTGTGAACTGACTTCAGTTTCTATGCGCCCATCGTTGCTGATGTAACCGCCAACGTAAGTGAACCAATCAACTACCTCGAGTTCCTCGTCATCAAAGGTTAAACGCTCGTCAAGTGGCGGGTGGTCCTGTAACAACAGTTTGCACTTTGAAGGTGCGAAGCGCATAGCAATTAATAGGACCACTCTAGAGAGGCTATGCAGGGTTGATTGTGCCGCCGCAACATCATCGAAAAGCAAGACGATATCGAGCGCATCATCAAGATCAACTAACCTTTCACCAAGCATGAACTCAACGCCTACATCGTGAGATTCCGCAAGAAAACACTCCATGATAGAGTCCATGACGAAGTTGAACAAAAACGGGGAAATCGGATAAGTCTGACAAACGCCACTTGTTGCCGGAAAGCTATCCGACAGGTCACTGTAGACCCTGACGCGGCTTGTAGTATTCGGGTAAGGAGCACGTAAACTGTTCACATATTTCGTGGGAACACCTTTCCGCGCAAGTATTTCGTGCAGAATGCATCAATTTACTGAATCGAACGCACTCTTGAAATCGAGGAACACAGATAGTGTCGGTCTGCGGTATGCGTGACAAGCATGGACATTAAAAGTTATGACAATCGTTGCCCGCCGTGACTCGATGGGTTAGAAGTCTCGACTGATATCACTATGGTCTCGGGTTAGATGTCCGCTAACTCTACTTGATGAGATCAAACAAGGAAGACGTGACGATGCATGTCATGCATCGTTGGAAGATCGGTGACGGACGGAGTTTCAGTAAATTTTGTTGTTTCTGCAACCATCGAATTTCCATCACCGCAATCTATCTTCACCCCAAAACATCAGCGACGTGAACCATCTTAAACGGAAGCAGAAGGTTGAACTACGCGGCTGAACACGCGCGCAACTGAACTACAAAATGTCATTGCAAAACTGACGGATGTTTTCGCCACCATCATGTGTGCAGTGGTACCTCGTAATTCCGGTGAACGCAAACGGCGCAATACCAAAGGGAGGGAGTAAGCAAAGAATCTCACGTTAGTTTTAATGATCAGAAACCTTTTTGACGCATGCTTTAACTTCTCATCCAAGATTATAAACGACCTGTCTCACCCCTTACACACTGCGCTATGCAGTATGGTATCTATTACTTTGATGCGGTTGAAATTTAAAGTTTACTCTTCTCGTACCTCGTCGCATCGCAAGTCAATATTGCCTTATTTGCCTCGCTAGTTAGTCGACCCAAAAGTAATGATGCATCAATTGTGAGACGGCCTGCTTTAGTGAAAATAAACCCTTTTTGTTTTCCTTGTCACTTTGCGATAGTTTCTCACCGATTCCATGCCGTAGTATGTCCGCAGTGCTAGAGTAAACTGATGAAAATGCCCCTACATGTCTGGGTACGATTGTCTTGAGTTGCCTTGAATGGACTTGAAGGAAGCCGATCAAACGTCGCCTACGCGAGCTGACTATGGCCGCACGGGCCGGAAGGATAAAGCGGAATTGGTTCAGTGTAGCACGAGCGTAGTAGAAGGTTGCTGTGGTAAAAAGTGAATAGGATTGTCCTGGCAACAGTGAGCGAACAGCACGCTCGCAGTAACGAACCTTAGCTGGCAAGAGGAATTGTGCTAGTGGTTAGTCGACTGAGTAGACAGAAACAATGTAGTATACGTGTAAGGATCAAGCGCGCTCCTGTGAGTTTGCCACAACTGTACGAGCCAGACGGACCAACTCATAATTGGAGCGGCCAAGTGTAAAAGAAGCTCAAGGCGACCCCAGACAGGGTGAGTGCGGTCTGGAATGGTATAAGACGCAACAATGGAATGGCGCCTCAAGTATATGCGCAATAAAAATGATCTCATGGCTCAGATTTCGATCGCTACTCAGACTTCGTTGCAAATAGAACTATAGGGTGATAAACAAGAAAGAAAAGCGTACACGTCGGATCCCGCTCACTTTGGGTGGACAGCCGACGACTCTATTGTCAACCGCATAGCAGATGGAGATCCGCAGATTCCCAGTGGCTGTGAATTAGTTGTCTAACGACGTCTATTTTAGACGGTAGATGCGGCGCAGCGTTGATAATCGAGATGCGGAGTAATTTCTCGTCAGTTTTTCTAGTACAAACTACGTCCATGAAGGATGACGGATGTCCAATGGAGCATGAGTGCGGCGAAAGTGAAAACTCTTGTGTGCCTACCACACAAGCTGTAGGGAAAGTTCATCCTAATGCTCAGAGAAAGAGAGCCACAAAGACCAGTGTTAGGCGTGGCTGATTGATTTGTGAAGCACTGATTTGCTTCTCAAGCCGCCAGATAAGTACATCATTAATACCCTAGGAGAAAATAAGGCGCTGCACCTGTTTAGGCAACAGGAACGAGCAGCCCAATTGAAAGGATCACCAGTGTCAGGGCTGGGATATCAATTTATTCACTGGATGTGTTGCTATGGAAACTGGGGCAACGGTACCCGCGTTTGCTACCCCAAGGTGTTAGATGCCGCGACTAACAGTCACTTTTAATGCCCAAGACTGAGCTATAGCGAAATACCTGCTCTCTTTTCTCGGCATCAGTGGTGCAATAGCAAAGATAGAAATCTGTAGGAATGCGCTATTTGGCTTAATCGGTGTATTTGAAATGGGTGCAATGGCATATAGCAGGTTGGGGATGCAAGTCGGTTTCCGGATTCCCCACTTGAAAAGGAGCTTCGATGTTTTTTCCAAACGTTGATATTTGCAGCCAGTCTCAGAGGTGATACGAACTATCGTTATCATCACATCTATTTTACTCAATTCGACCCTGTCCGAAATGTTTAAAACCATCGAGTTTAAACCTAAACAGTCATTCATGTATCTCGGATGCGATGGGAGCAGTTGGGTGTCTTGCTTACACTCACTCGAATCGGACCGAGTTTCGTCGATGAGCAATTAGGGCAATGCAATGAAAACAAGTGATTCTTGAGATGGTCAGATGGATGCAAATATCATTTCACCTCATGACCCGGCGATTTCGCGGGACTAGTCTTAGCATTGAGTTCTGAAACGATGTTCACATTTGAAGATGAACAGCCCTGAAGGAATGAGAGATACGCTGATCTTTGTCTGCAGGGTGCAGTGTGATTTTAATGAGGACATAGTCACTGGAGTTGCCGAGCGGCCAGAAGCCTGGACTAACTGGTGGGAGAGTTTAAAAACTAGCTGAAAGGAGAAATACCCCCAGAAGTACAAGGAATGCCGCGGTTGATGATTTACAAGCTTGACGATCTAGTACAGCACACAGCGTAAACCAACCGTCTTAGACTTCGCGTTTGCCCATGGTGGAGTCACCAGTACACGAGACCAATAAGCCGCATCGCGTCAGTGACCAGTCGAACAACAAGTCGGTTGTTTACAGCGCATTCAGATCAGAGCCACACGGTCTGGCGTGGACATGATAAGTGACCTTTGTGATTCTGATCAGTTCAACGCGAAGGTAGATATCAAGTGAATCCCGAGTGTAACGCAAGAGGTAACGGTGATCGTGACGGCGTGAAAGTTACGAACAACTACTTCACACAGGTAGCAGTAGGGCTGAATATGAACTGTTCAGACAATACTCACGATTAACTATCAAGGCAGATCACAGAGAAATTCATGATGCCCAAAACGACAGAGATAAACGTATGAGACCCGATTGTAGAAGTGCGAAAATTGTAAACGGCAATTACATGGTACACCCGAAAAATAAGCATGGATTATGGGAACTCATCGAGCTGAATTGAACCAGCACAATGAGGCGACGAAATTCGAGGGTGGGATACCAAGGTGAGTAGGAGTAAAGACATAGTGCGAATGCAAAGCCTGAAAAGAGTATGTATCATACTGAGGCAGTTTATTTGCTATCATGATAGTCGAATCAGTGAAAAGCAGCATAGCATCTGGTCGAATAGAGGATGAAGTGACCACATTTTCATGCTTCTTGAAGCACCTGAGTACAAATGACTATCGTGGCAGTTTTCATTGACTTAATGACAACCGTGGGTCTAGTGGATTGCACCTGTTTGTCGCACTGCGTACTTTAGGAAGAAAGATCTGAAATACTTCCTTCTATCCTTAAACCTTCTCACAGTGACTGCTTGGACAGTCTACGAATCATAGGGATCCTGGTTTCGCGTTAACTGTGACAAGTGGCAACAGGCCACTTTTGGTAAACAGCATCCAACGTGGTACAAATCAAACGCATGAGGTAAATTGCGCTTCATTGGAATATAGAACAAATTTACAAGTTAGCTTAGCGAAAAGGATCATAAAGCCAAACAAAAAGGCGTCGGATAAGCACAGTTTACGTGCGGACACACAAAGCAGGTGCTACTGTCGAGGTACCAACGTAATGGGCGACAACTTATGGGATTAGAAAGATTTTGCATAGAACGGAACAAGTGATTAGAGTTAGTACTCTCCAAATAAACGTGCAGTCCCGCATGGAGTAGCTGTTAAGGGAACATAAACGGTGTAAAATACAACGGATTGGACAGAAGTTCACGAAATCAAGCACACACTTGACAAGTGAGTACAGTACACACCTACCAGAAATGCGTGATGACAGGCCACCAACCACTCGCTGGAAGCGCGGACCATGATGTCTCTCTCCTCCCAGTAGCCGGATTGGCAGTGATCCAGAAGATGCTGTTTGTTCATCATCTTCATGGCGTAAACGCGTCGGGTACGTTTGTGACGGACTAGTTGGACGCGACCGAAACCGCCTTGACCGATGACTTTGAGTAGCTCGAAATCGGTGTACTTGGTACGTTGCGCATCAATCAGTTGAGCAACTTTGCCGAATCTGTTGACGGAAACCGATAAAGATGGAAAGTAACTGAAAATAAACCTGGTAGAAAATCCCACTGTCCACTGAATGACGCTTCGGCTGACAGTTGGTAATTCGGCGGGGAAACATAAAAACCAAACAGACATGCTGCAATTTGTTTGTTTTAACAGGAAAGCGAATATAGGATGTAAGACCGCAATAGCACTGTACACCAGTGTGCTGTCAAGTGAATACTGAAAGCAACTTGGCCCTGAAACCCAAAAGACCCACTGTAAGCGAAAGCCAATTTCAGTAAATTGTACGCCGCGGATGGGTACGACAAACATCAGCAAAGTCGATATGGTTGAAGAAATCAACCTCAGAGGGAATGGGAGTAAGGACAGAATGAATACGATTGAAAAGCACACTAAAAGGGAGGTAAAAAACAGTGATCAAAATGTAGAGGGCAACGGCCAGAGTGCTAGTGTTTCGGTGACTGAGTCGTAGCAAAAAAGATTTAGACCAAATATGAGCAAAATCCAAGAGCCCTATTAAAGAAGGTGAGATGAAGCAACAAGTCCACATATCGCAGAGCATGTGTGCAAATTACTTACAACATCGATGGAGTTGCTCAACGCCTGACCCAAGCATGTGCAGAACTGTCGAACAACACACACCGAGGTAGGAGGTTGGCAGATGTGCAAAGACCTAGCTTAACCGGCGTAAGTAACTTGAGTCCAGTGATACACTACAAGATAGGCAAACGTCGAATAACCAGCCTTTGGTACTGCCTAATGCTTGCACCGGATGTGGACAATATTTCGCAACCGGCTTCTTATTATTCGCAATGCGCCATGTCTCTCTCAGTTCCACGCAGCGACACTGCACACACCACAACATTGCGCACCCTGCAGCTGTCGATTAAACGTACATTTCGCCGTCAGCATATTTGAATAAGGCGAGGGGAAACAGTATGAGGCTTTTCGATGCGTGTAGCAACAACTTGGATGATTTGACCGCATGAGAAAGAACAGTTATTTGTGCAATTATGTCTGTCGACCGATTCGAGTGCCTGCGCAGTGATTGTGAGAACCGGTGGAGTGTCGGACAAGCTATACAAAGACATCCGCAGATAAGTAAAATACATAACGAGATGGGCGGCGATCCGCATCAGCCTACAAAACAGCTGGACTCGGTCCCATGTGGGGTACGAATGTATGCGTACTCTCGGTTGTCCCGATCGACGTTCCATCACCTCGATCGGAAGGCATAAAAGTTTGCGGGCGCATGCCAATCTCCACTAGCTCCATTTACCCGAAGTCAGGAGTGTGATGATAGTATCAGATCAGAGTGAGCAGATGGACCAATCGGGAGAGCCAAACAGCCAATGGGAGGCGGACGGGACGGATTCGATTACTGGACTCGGATTGGACGATATTCGTGTGAGTGATTCACCGTTTGTTTAACTGAAGCAAAGGAGGAATCTCAGCGACTCAGAAGGGTCGTTAGTTATGGACTTGAACCTGCAATTTATATCGAGGAGTTTGGCTTGCTAAACATGCTGTAAGTTTTGCTTAACTGTCTTTGCCGAATAAACGCTTACCTACCTATTTTATTTACTGCGGCTAGCTCTCGCGACAGAACGAGCCGGCTTCATGAATGTCGCGAATTGCAGCTGCCCAAACGCAGCAGTCGGCGGCAAGCTCCACGCAGATACTGATCCAATGATTCCTCCAGTGACGAGCACCATGCACAACATGGAGTCCCAGAAGATCAACATCCGAATTCACTGCAGCGAGCTATGTTTTCAATTATCCACCACAGCGACGGCACCAACCCTGGCAAGGCGACGGTGAAACCACGGCCCTAGTGAAGTCAGTGTCTGGTCTGTGGAGGACGTGACCGAACCACTGAAGTCTGCGGCGTTGGATGAACGTTGTGAGCTTCGGAAGACCGTAACGGCGCTTACGGATTTCGTCATTGGTGGTACGAGCATGTCATTACATTTTCAAGACAAGCCTTAGACACCAATGGTCGAAAACTTCCAGCTTCCGGGTGTCTTCGTATTACAACGGTTATGTATCGCAACCATAGAGTAAAACGGCATGAATCGTTGCTAAAAATACTCGGATCTTCGTACTCAGACTAATTCCCGTCCTTCGCCACAATGTGTTTCTCAGTTGTAAGTAGGCTGTTCTAGAGCTGTCAAATCGAATCCGGATTTCGGATGTAGCCTGACCATTGGGGAGTATAGTGGATCCAAGATACTTGAAGTCAGGAACAGATTCGATGAGTTGTCCATGTAAGGAGAGCGACGGGGCGGACTGGGTGGCTAACGATGGGAAGTATTTCGTCTTGCTGATGTTAATTTCGAGGACTATCATAAAGGCTGATTGGTCGACCCGGTTTAGCAGTGACTGTAGTGATATAGCATCTTCCACAAGAATAGCAATATCGTCAGCAAATTCTAGATCTGACAGCAAGAAGACCGAGCTAACTTGAACACCCCGATAGCGCTCAAGAGCATGATGCATAACCCAGCCGACTGCGAAGTTAAACAGCAGCAGAGAAAGTGGGTAACCCTGCCGGATTCCAGTATTTATGTCGAATTGCTTTGGTTCTTCTCCATAGACACGAATCCGGGCCTTCGTGCGACGGTAGTGTGATCTCATCAAGTTAATGAGTTTAACCGACACGCCATCGGCAAGTAGTATTCTCCAGAGTGCTTCGCGGTCAACTGAGTCAAAGGCAGCTTGAAAAGCAATGAATAAACGTTTGTCCCTGAAGGACTGAGTTCTGCAACATGGTGTCAGAGAAGACAAAGACAAACCCCACCGGCGATGCGCGCATGCTGTTTGGATCACCACCGTCTATTCAGATGGCTGCCACACTGAACATGGATGAACAGAATATGGCGATTAATTGGCGTTTACGGAAGAGCAAGTGGGAGGATTTTTGAACCTTAGTACGTCTGGACGAACAACCAGTGGCGTATCGGTTGGTGATGTTTCGACACGCATCCGGGGATGACGCGCGCCGTGTTCTAGAGACATTGCAATACGACAAAGGCGAAGATCCCAACAATTTGGAGACGGTCATTGGAAAGCTCAGTGAATTTTGTGAAGATCAAACCAACGAGACCTACCAGCGCTATCTTTTCTGTTCGCAAAACAGAGGCACAAACGAATCAGGCGACGCGTACATCACTGAATTGAAGATTTTGGCCCGATACTGAAATTTCTCTAACAGCGTTCGCTGTTAACACTGTATCTTCGCAGCGACGCTGGGCGATGTTTTGATACCCATTTTGACAAACACCCGTCCGTGTGACTAAGAAATCTTTCATTATCATCAATATCAATGCAAGTTAGCTGACGGTGAGAAACACACCTCAGCTAATGTATCGAATAAGGAAAAAGATATTAGAAATTAGAGTACAAAAAGTTCGATAAACAAGTAATATAACGCAAAATGTCATAGTACGCATGTTAGGACACAGAGGTACGCAAGCGAGCATCTATAAGTTCCAGAGGTCCGATGTCCAGATTGGCAATTTGATTTGCCACATGAAGACATGCCCACTAATAGTAACGTCTGGCGAATATGCGACCAGTGATCTTCAACGGTGTTCAGTGGGCGCTTACTCAACACAGATGCCAGCGTACATTGATACGCATTCGGGACACTTGGCTTCGCCATTTGGCTGGTGTTTATGCGCTTATAGCCACGTTGCGGACGTTCGCCGAAACGCACCCGAAGGTCGGCACACACCAGAGCCTGATCGGAGTCCACGTTCGTGCTCCAATCGAGCGACAGTTTTGGACACAACCTCTCCAGCGGTAACTAAGCGCGATGTGATCAATTTGCGTCCATAGCTGGTCCCTGGTTCATGGGACCAATTCACTCTTCTGCGGGTGCTGTGTGCAATGGTAGTGCACACGAGACAGAAACGAGCATCTTATCGCAGGTGTATCAATCGTTCACCGTTATCATTGCGGGAGTCTACACCATGTTGTCCGCCCAGATGAAGCTCATCAGAGGACCATTTTTCGACTTTGGTGTTCAGATCACCAGCATGCTCCACAGTATGGGTACTTTCTCGCGGCGAAGGAGCTCATGTTTTGGTGATAGAAGTCCTCTTTTACTGAGTCAGTGCTACAGTTTGTGAGCACGTATACAACGATGATAAACAGGCACCTTTTGTCCCGGCGCGACTTCGACGCCTGGAACGATTCAGCGAATCTGTCGGCGCACATCCGACTGTTGACTGGAATCCAATCGATTAGGGCAGTTTCAGCCCGGGGACTCAAAGCAATGCGGACGCCAGCTTGATCGGCACTTGTAGCTGCGTCTTTGCCAGACAGGGGCAATGGGAATGTGCTGTCAGTGTCGAATGTTGGGATCCCAGGGTAAGCACGGAGCTCGAATCTTGCAGGCGGGTTTCCGACAAGCAGCAAATATCGATCGAATGGGTCTCTAATGTTTGGGCAAGTGATGACTGTTGGCCAATCTGTAGCAAAGCGCGCACGTTGATGCACACCAGCCTTAGCGAGAATCGAGTAGTCCAAAGGGAAACGGATGAACTGACTTCATCTGCTTGGTTGAACACGCACTTGTCGACTGGACTGGAGCGAGGCCATGCAATTGTGTGAGTTGAAACTAGAAGACAATCGACTACTGAAGCTAGATGGGAGAGAGCAAAGAATGGGGGTTAAAAACCGGGGGGAATAAAAGGTAGTTGGCGTGGGATGGTAAGGATGAAAAAGCGCAAGGGTGGGAATAAGAAGATAGGAAAAGGTGAGCAGTAGCATCCAAACCCCTATCCACCCTGCTCGATGCAGCAGATAGGGCGTCGTTGGTTATCCTCCGCAACGGCCAGAGCATCACGAGATTGTTAGAAGGAAAAGTCATGGTACATTGTGTGGGAAGGATACTGTTAGGTTTCTCAGCCCTAGACAGGAGAACGAGTACGGTTCTCAACCAAAGCGTATAGTTCAAGAACCTGGCTGCAAGGCAGCGAGGTTTTGACACTGGTGA